GGAACTTGTGACGTTAATTGCAAAACAGTTTCACCAAGCCCTAGTGAGTCAAAACACCATTACCATGTACAAGATACAACAACCAGTTTCATACGAATATATTTACTACGGAAGAGTTTAAATCGCATGAGGAATTTGCTGTGAGACGTAAGAGAGTGAGAACTGTGTTTACCGCAGGGCAGTTACAAGAACTGGAACGACATTTTCGTCTGAATAAATATGCACATGGTTCAACACGAGACAAATTAGCGCAAGATTTAAATCTGACACAGAAGCAAGTTAAAATTTGGTTTAAAAATAGACGTATGAAATTTAGGAAAGAGCTGTCCTCATTGAATAACAGAGGCCCTCCAGAAGAACATATAACAGAAGTCACCCTCGAGGAAGTTTTCAATATGGAAGATGTGTTTAAAGACAGTAATTAATCTGAGTTTGATTTTGATTTAAGTTATCTTAATTAGTATAGTAAACAATTATATCACACATTGTTCTTATTATTACTGAGGATATTTTAGAAGTACAAATTATATTTAAAGCAAAAATAGATATTGAATGTTAAGAAATATTTTAAATAAAACCTTTTCTTTATATTAAATGACGGTAAAAATATGTAACTTGTTATTAAATAAATATAGTTTAAAAAAACTAAAAAACACGCTTTTAAAGCACATCAAACTAAAAAGTGAAAAATAATTATTAATATAAACTGAAAACAATAATGAACGAAAAATACTAGTATTATTGTGAAAAAAGCGTGGGTTGCTCGATATACGAAAAATATGGTACAAAGCGCCCCACGCTTTTTTCACAATAATACTAGTATTTTTCGTGTTTTTTAGTTTTTTTAAACTATATTTATTTTTCACTTTTTAGTTTGATGTGCTATGAAAGCGTGTTTTTTTAGTTGTTGTAAACTATATTTATATTGCTTATTGATGCTGATATTATAATATATTACGATCCAACAGATATTTCTGAAAAAAAAAAATTTTATTTCAGCCGTGGGATTTGAACTCACGTCCGAGGAGTCTGTCGTTTGGCATCGACTGCCTTAGCCCGCTCGACCACCGCGACCCAGCTGTCAGTTGTGAAATGTACTTACATATTTAGCCTTTCCTCTTACGCAGAGGATACGTGAGGAAAGGACTGGCTATTCTGAACAGGATAATGATATAAACTTATCAAATTATTGTATTGTTACCGGTTCTTTGTAAGTGTACAAAGTTTCAATTAAATCTGTCCGTTTAAAGTGGGTCAAAATCGAGTCCAAAGAGTCGGTTACAAACAAACAAACAAACAAGCAAACAAGCAAACAAACATACAGGTGAAGCTAATAAAAGCGTGTTAAAAATAAAGATAAAAGTTAATATATGGCTTGTAAAGTGTGTGAAAACATTGATGAAACACTTTTTAAACATGATGCGTGTAGAAAAAGCTGTGCGTAAACAATGTGGTAACATTATATCATCAGGAATCTATAACTAAAAATGAAGCTCATCAATTTTATTACACACAGCAGTGTCTTAAATATAAGAGATTGCGTACACTACATGTGTTAATAGATAAAAAAAATGGAGCCATAAATACTAAAGTAAAATTGATTAAACTGTTACAATATGAAGAGTCAAACTTAAAATCAGAAATAAACGATTAAAATCTGAAAGAGTTATAAATAATCTAAAAATGCAATAATTTAAAATATATAGGTATAACAGAACTTAAAAACCTCGCAGCGAAAAGAAAAGAGAACGTAAAGAAATAAGAGATATATGGAATTTACTTTGTAGTGAGGTTCTAAAAATAAGACATGTAGGTCAAATTATACTCTTGTCTCGATTTTGTTGTAAACAAATTACAAATTATCTGCTTTTTTCAGTATCAGGCGGTCAAACTGAAGTCATTTTTATTTTTCTTGAAATTTGTGCACTTTTACACTTAAAAGACTTTACAACAACAATTATTTATCATTTCTTTGAATGCGTTATATTTACACAAATCATAGCAATAACAGTTACATACATATGTGACGTGGAAATAATAAATAATGCAATTCCTACCAAAGAGCCGTTTTTGCACTTATGCGATTGTAATGTTCGCATTTGCGAGAAAAATTATTCTCATCGCACTTATCGCATAATGTACTATTTTTAGTTTAGTCTTAAATTAAAAAATTCAGGGATTACACAAAATTGTAATTTTCTTCAAAGGAATGAAATAAAGAGTGTCATATGAAATAACCATTTTTGAAATAGGTAGTAATTATTTTCTGGAAGAAAAAAAATTCAACACCACAGGTAATACACCCACCTGTATCTCTGATAGTATTGCAAGGTACCTTGTACGGGAGAGGTCTACACAATTCGGGACAATGAACACACCCAATTTCGGAGTATGCTAGGACTAATTTCTGGTTTTGAAAAAATCTTAGCTCTTCGCCTGGGAATCGAACCCAGGACTCCAGGATGAAAGGCAAATGTCTTTACTACTCGAGCATGAAGCTGCACTATTACCCATTTAAATATGTTTTATTGAATGGGAGCTTGTTTGTATTTATTATTTATGGTATTGACCAATTTTCCATGTTTTTCATTAATCTGTCTACAACCCACTGTTAATGTTATTAAAAAATTGCTATTAATTCAAATATTGAGCTTTTCCTAGAGTTCCTTAGTTATCCAATTTATTAGGTTTTAAAATCTTTTTATAGCAAATATTTTTTTAAATGAATTCTTAAGACAATCTCAAATTAAGTAAAGACTCTTTCTGAAATAAGTGCTTTTTCTATTTAAAACTAAGATGACAGGAGTTATGTAAGTAATTAAACAAATTATATTATCATATGTTTAAATTTATATTTTATGAAAATTTTTAATTGTCTAAAATTTTCGCGACACGAGTTGTTTTGATTTAAAAAATACAAATACCACTCTTTTTTCAATAATAAATGTGCTCTGCATTATTGACAGAAATTTCCCAGAGATCAATCCTGTATTGAATTATTCTGTAAAATAGGCATAGGACGCTCTGAGGATTGCGTCAGGACCCATACTCTGCCTTACTGCCGAAACAATATACACAGTTTTACTAAATTTCTAATTCAGTTCGGATATATGAAACTTCCAGTCTAATCGCTGATTTACATGTTTTAATATTATTCATTACAGAAATGTTTTCTTTATTTAATTTAAAGACATTACTGACATCATCTACGAAAAGTGCAAATTAAAACTTTCGAAAATTATTGGCGATATCGTTAATAGATAATAAAAAAAATAGACGTCCTAACAGTGATACATGTGGGACTCAGCATTTTATTTGGCCGTAAAAGTATTGTATTTTATCATTCCAATTGTCATTTAAACCGCTTATTTCCACCGCCACTTCCTTATTTTCTAAGATAACCCACGCCAAGTATCTTCATGTTAAAGTATCTTAATACTAGGTTATTATTCAATAGTATTTTTTTATAAAACAAATATAGCCTTACAAGTATCTAAAATAAAAAAAATTGTCTTGACCTTAGATATTGCCTACCAACAGAAACGAATGTAGGAAACAATCTTTATAGATATAATAAATGTTGGTGTTCACATTTTGGGGCATCTTTATCACTGGATGTACATGGATTATTTTATTATTTAAATCAAGTTAGAGGGAAAGGAATCATAATTAAAATAAAAAGGGCGGTCGGATATCCAATAACTGTCAGTTATTTTATTACTTAGATCAAGTTATAGGATAAGGAGTAATCAACAAAATAAAAAGGGGAGGGGGCAGGTACCTAATAAATAGTAATGCATGCAATACTATTAGAATTTATCACATTTACCTTGTGAATTTCAAGAGAGTAAATATTGGTCAATAATGTCTGTGGAAACTTCAAAACCTCAATTCAGTGGAACTTGTGAAGTTCATTGCAAAACAGTTTCACCAAGCCCTAGTGTGTCAAAAACAGCATTACCACGTACAAGTTACAACAATCAGTTTTATACGAACATATTTACTACGGAAGAGTTTAAATCGCATGAGGAATATGCTGTGGGACGTAAGAGAGTGAGAACTGTGTTTACCGCAGAGCAGTTACAAGAACTGGAACGACATTTTTATCTGAGTAAATATGCACATGGTTCAACACGAGGCAAATTAGCGCAAAATTTAAATCTGACAGAGAAGCAAGTTAAAACTTGGTTTAAAAATAGACGTATGAAATTTAAGAAGGAGATGTCCTCATTGAATAACACAGGCCTTCCAGAAGAACATATTATAACAGAAGTAACCCTCGAGGACGTTTTAAATATGGAAGATGTGTTTAAAGACAATAATCAATTTGAGTTTGATTTTGATTTAAGCTATCTTAATTAGCATAGTAAACTAATTTATATCACACAGTGTTTTTATTATTACTGAGGACATTTTAGAAATGCAAACTATATTTAAGACAAAAATAAATATTGAAGATTAAGGAATATTTTAAATAAAAACCTTTCCTCTATATTAAATGACGGTAAAAATATGTTACTTGTTATTAAAAAATAAATATAAAAGTTATTATACGACTTGCAAAGTGTGTGAAAACATTGATGAAACACTTTTTAAATATGATGCGTGTAGAAAAGCCGTGCGTAAACAATGTGGGGGAGACCGGGGCTAGTTGACTAAGTTTTAACAGGTTTATTTTTATTAAATTTATTATATGATCGGTATTGCTCTGTAGCATGTCAAAAATTCGTAAATGGTTTATGTATTTAATTTTAATTACTAATTTTGATTTACTATCACTAGGAAAAAAAATATTTGACACTTTTATAATGATGAACAGATAAGTCAACTAGCCCCGTATATGGGGTTAGTTGACATACATGAAGGGGTTAGTTGACTTGATAATTCCTTTTAGTTTTTGAATGAAAAAACCAATGTAGTTATAAAATAAATGTTTATTTTCTTAAAATACAAAAGCAGTAGTGCCAAAAACAAAAAAAAACAATTAAACTAATAAAAAGGGGCCTATAAATCGTCATCTGAGTCACAGTTGATGCACTTATAATAAATCAGATTGGAGCTGCTGATACATTTGTCATGGGCCCATCTGTGGCAACTTGTGCATTGCACCCACTTCTCACCACTTGTGCTAATAAGATAAGATTCGTCGCATATCAGGCACTCAGTGTCATCATCCGATTCTGAAGATGATACGTCTGTTACAGTGCGAGATGTAGATGCAACTGGATGTTCATCGCGAAAAAGAAACCTTCGACCATCCTTAACTTTGGCGCTTTTTATATTTTTTGTCTCAACCTTATTTTTCTTCTCAACCCTATTTTTCTTCTCAACCTTATTTTTTTTCTTAGCTGGTAATTTTCTTTTTTTCACATTTTGTTTTTCTTGTTGTAGTGCTTCTTTTATTGGAGTGTCTGTTAAAATAGCAGTTTGTCTCTTTTTTCTTGCTCTTCTGGCGTTTTGTCTTGGGCCGGCTTTGGGAAATGGTCTGACTTCCTCAGGACTTAGCAAAGGCTCTTTATTTTTTTTGTCAACTTCAACTTGTTCTTCCACTTTGTTTACTTGGTCTTTTTTCCCCTTCGTTTACTTGGACTTCTTCCACTTTGTTTACTTGTTCTTCTTCCACTTCGTTTAGTTCGGCTTCTTCCACTTCGTTTACTTGTTCTTCTTCCACTTCGTTTAGTTGTTCTTCTTCCACTTCGTTTACTTGGGCTTCTTCACTTCGTTTACTTGTTCTTCCACTCCGTTTACTTCGTTTCTGTCAATTTCATCTCCTTCGTGGTTGGGTGCCGGTCTATCTGTCACATATGAGCCCAAAAATTCAGTGTCCGGAAAAATATTTTCATTAAACGGACAAATTCATGTTTTTTTAAAGCCCGCCATAATATTGGTTGGGGTAGCAGCGAGAGGGAGCGTCATTTTGACAATTCCTGGTATGTCATAGATGGAAAAAGTCTTGCCCGCATTATTCACCATCCAATTGTCAATAGCTGAGTTACAGTATTTTTTCAGTGGTCCGTAAACGCTTCTGTCAAGCGGTTGTAATTTATGGGAACAGTGCTGCGGGAAAGATAAAACTGTTACACCGTTTTCCTTACAAATATCCAAAGCTGGTACTGAAAGGTGGGATTCGTGATTATCGAGTAATAAAAGTACAGGCCTTTCCTTTGAACATCTTGCATGGTGGATAAAATGTTTAATAAATTTGATAAAATGTTCTTCTTTCGTCCAACCAGATGGATTGGCATCACCCAAGCTTCCAACAGGTCCGTCTCTGATAAAATGGTCACGAAAGTTTACCCTTGGGAATATAAAAAATGGCGGAATAGAATTGCCACTTGCAGACACTGCAACAGTAAGAGTTACAAGAGTTCCTCTTTCGGCGGATGTAAGTTTTCCTATCTGCTTAAAACCACGTCGCGCAATTATTCTGTCCGGCTTTTGGACCGTTGTTATGCCCGTTTCGTCGACGTTCCATATATCTGAGGGTTCTAGATGTAAACGATTATATACAGTCTTTAAATTAGAAAAAAACATGTTTACATTTGTTTTGTTGAAGGAAGTAGTTCTTGACAGGCTGGTGGCTTGTGGGCATCTTAAAGATAAACTATTATTTCTTTTAATAAAAGCAGCAGCCCAATCTTCACCCGCCATCTTATTCTTAGTCCAGTTTGCCGGAACCTCAAACTTATTTGAGCTAGCGTATTGAAAAGCGAATTTTCTGAGTTCTTTAGGTGTTAATCCGTAGTAAATATCCGAGGCTCGTTTTAGGTAATCAGCTAATAGAGTTTCGTGTTCGTGAGAAAAAATTTGTCGCCTATTAAAATATCCAACACGTTCTAATTTAATTTCAGTACGATTTTCGTTCTGCGTTCTGGCTTTTTTCACGTAGCGGTCAAGTGTTTTTTGAGGGATAGTAAAGTCTTTGGCAGCACTGTTAACACTCCTACCTTCATTTATGACCATTTGGACTGCCCGTAACATAACATCTGGTGGTATTTTGCCTTTGTCCGTTTTTCGCTTGTAAGTTCGCATGGTTATGACTGTAACAAAGAAGATATTACAGTAGGTAATACAAGGATGGTTGATAATATCTGAAACCCGCAAAGATATATAAATAAAATTTATTGTAAAACGCGGGAATCGGGGTATTAGGCTTGCTGACTTTAAGGCTAATTTTAAAATCTATGGACTTTTCGGAACAATAAAGACACCTGGCAACGTCGCCGATTCCATCTTCAAATTCAACGGGCCCAATTATTGTATTGTACCAAATTTTGTTAATGTAATTCTGCCGGTTTTCTAGATAACCACCCATTCGGTATTTTTTACTAACCAAAATTTACCTATAGGGGTTAGTTGACTAAGTAGTCAACTAACCCTACATGTACTTAGTCAAGAAGCCCCGTACGACGCAGCCATATTTTTTAGGCTGTATTTTAAAGCACGCAAATATATGTATGGTTAAAATATATAAAATCCTATAGTGAAACGATCACATTT